ATAATAATAATAATAATAATAATAATAATAATAATAATAATAATAATCTATTTCGTTTCAGGGCGACCAACCGATTCGATAGCGCTGGCTTGGGTTCCGAAAGACCAGACGGTGTATCCAGAGACGATGACGAATTCGATGCCTATAGGAAAAGAATGATGCTCGCCTACAGATTTAGGCCTAATCCTTTGGTACGACGAATCGAGACACACGCATCCTTTCTTTGTTTACCGTTTATCCGTAACACTGAGAGATTTTCGTTTCTTTCAGAATAATCCACGGAGACCATATTATTGAGGAAAGGAGTATCGGTGTATGAATTGTATTTATTTACATTATGTATCTATATTTTTTATTTTTTATTTAGTTGGAGAAAACGAATCGTCGTTATTTTGTATATTTGAAATTCTTCGAGCATAGAAAATTACGGTCAAACCATGTTATCTGCCCAAAAGTGGTTAATACGATTAAATAAATGAAATACGAAGCTTGTTTCAATGTGTAGCCGTCTACATAGATGCGTCGCACTATCTTTTCAAATAAAACAAAAAAACTCTACGACAAGGATTAAAATATTAACAAAGTAATCGCGGAGGTAACGAAACTTGATTTATCAGCTACACATAATTCTATCCTAATTCGAGCACTCGGTCGTTGAGCGATTCGTTGTTTGTTTCGCGAATAAAATGAAACTTTGCAATTCTTGTTTCTCGAGTGGAAAGCGTAAAATATTTGTTTCAGTATATGAGTGAGTGCGTGCGTGCGTGCGTGCGTGCGTGTGTGTGCATGTCTGTTTGTCTGTACGTACACAAGGCTTCTTCGAAGGCTGCAAGACCGATCAAGCGTGTTTACCTCAAGGCGATATTAATAGCATTCACAGAAAGTCGGAGTTCGCGATCTGGTCTCTGTGTTTTATCCTTTTTCAATCAACGAAAGAGTATTACGATAGATAGAACAACATAACCAACGAACGAACAGGTAACCAGCCGGTTGACCGGTCGATCAACGTATCAACTGGTCCGACAACGACCACGGCTACGAGCAACGAGCCTCGTTCGCTCTCTGTTCGCTGTTACTCTCATTACGCCCCACTTGCCCGTTCAATCACCTTTCGAAACATTCGAACATGGTGGCAAACAATCCAACCGACAATCGTTTATCTTTCGATCCATTCTTTTCCCCTTACTTTCATCGTCTTCCGTCTTTTTATTTCTCGAGTAGGTTTAATCGTTCTCATTCGCCTTGCCATACTTTTTCATTCGCATCTCCCTCATCTACTTGCCCTTCTCTCACTTAACTTCTCGATCACCGTGTTCTCATAACTTCATTTTCCTCGGATGCAATTTTCTCATTTTTTCAGTTTCACGTTTCTTCGTTGCCGAGGTCGTCTTTGGAATTTCAATGCATAGTTGGCGTCGACGCGGCCTAATAATCACGGAATGCACATTTCACGGTAAATATAAGCTAAGCATAAGCAGCTACATGTTCGCTTCTCGAGGAACGCGTCATCGACTATCGAATCGATGTTTAATAAACGCGAGTTGTCGATACGTACCATTGTTTCAACTAGATTTTAAATGTCTTTCTCTAATACGCTTTCAGCACTAAAGAAAACAGGAAAATTACGCAGCAGCGGCAGCAACATCTGCAAAAAAGTAATCGACAACGTTGTCCATATGGATAATTATGTTGTTAAAAGGATGCGTATGGAAAATAGATTGTCAACTTGAGGTGCAAACAACGAATCTATCGGAGTCTATCTAGAAAAATTGAACGAAACATTCGACTGCATTTGGTTTATCGTAGCTTGGACGCGATACGATCCGAACATTTTCTATCGAGCTGTGCGATGACTATACGACTATTAGCTCGATCGCTTCTAACGAGAAAAACAAGTAGAGCTTAACTCTACTGTTAATTGCGCGGATATGCGCATCCATCATTTCTCGGAATGTCAAACGATCAAATTTCTCAAAATTTTGAAAATAATCTCGTTACAGCTTACCGAACGATATTTGTGCAGGGCGGAGCGGTAGGATGATACGCGTTTTCGATTTCGAGCTGTCTCGGGTTGTTTTCGGTGAGCTGCAAACGGCAATGGAACGTTGATCAGAAAAAGGAAGGTACCGAAGAATAAGCAAAGATCGGACAAGATGAATGGAATGGAATGGAACGGAACGGATGAGTAGAGAAGGAAACGAGGGTCCAGAGAGGAACGGAACAGAACGGAACGGAACGAAACGAAACGGAACGAATTCAAACGGATCGAATCGTTTCAGGAGATCGGATCACGGCTTTACACGGGGAAAGGACGGAAAGAGACCAGAATGGTCGGTGGGAGATCAGTGGGGAGAGGTATAGGTCCTTCAGCGTGGACACGTATGTACGTGAAAGTAACTCTTACAGTTGAACGGAGATTGTATAGTTGTCGGTGTTTTATGGTGTCGGTGGTCCCGTCGTTCACCACGAAGCAAAGATACGCGACGGTGCATGCGGCGGCCGGCCGTCAACGTCTACCGGTGTGCATTTTGTTAGGATAGGGAGGAGAGGGAGGAGCGGGCAAACGAGGAACGCAAAAGCAAGTAGGGGTGATGGAACCGTGTATGGCACGAGCCTCGCGCGGTTCTCCGATCCGCACCGATATAGACGTAACCAACATAACGCAAAGACCAGCGGGCAAACTCCGGTCGAAGTCAGCCCCGAGGACGTTTCACGAGGCTGTGCGTCAACGAACGGATTATCGATTCACCTCGGATAAATAATCGTTTGTTACTTCGTCTGGTTAACGGTAGCGTGTGCGCGATCGTTTACGTAATTTCGTGGTTTTCGTTTATCCAGCAAAGTCTTTCGAGAAACAACGTTACGCACCCACCAGCCCTTCCCCTCTTTACCGATCTATCTCTTTGGCTTTGCCTCGTCGTTTTCTCCTCTTTGCTCTTTCGTGCGCACCTGTACGCTGTATCGATCAACGACGACAGTGGAAAACCCTACGGCATGTACCAACGACTTTTGCTTTCTTCTTCGTGGAGATTAAAAGTTTCGAGATCAACGAGTGAGATTAACAAGAGAAACGGACACCGAGAAGCGTAAAACGTCGAACGAGAACCGATGATATTGCTCTAACACGAAACCACAAAATACCATAGCCACGTTACATACGTATCATCGAATTCTATCGAGCTTGTAATACGTTTTACAAAATGAAATTGTAATAGTGTCGAAATGTAATAGTTATCAAACGAAAAGCATTTCAGTTATCTTTGCGATCGTTGCGATTAGGTTTGATCGCGAGTGCTGAGTGTTTTGGGAATATTTGAAAATCCCAGTGAAGAGACAATCGTATCCGTTGATTTACACACCTTCGTTTGGTGTGTTTTCCGTTTTTGGTTTGTTGCATACATTAACGGTATATGGATGTTTCGGTCGAAGAGAAGAGGAACTTTTTGTACGTGGCCAGCTAATCGAACGCAAAGTATTATTCGGGAGTGTCGGTACGCGTATTTCAAATTGAATGTCTTCCTTCCGTGTCTACAACGTTTCTATCGTCATTTTGTTCGTCACCGTCGCGATCGCCGTTCTTAGTAGATTCCCTTTCGATTCGTCCTTTCATCTGTCGTACCTCCTTTCTTTCTATTTGATTTGATTCGAGTATGAAACAGGCTATAATTATTACCACGTGCCTGTTGGGTTTCGTGTTTGCTGGAAGTCCTAGACTGCCGAGGACCTCTGCCGACGAGCGGAATATTCGCAATGTCAGTAACAATGGAAACAACACGAGCGGAAACATGATCCCGACGACACCTATTCGTAATCCTCAGCGAAACAGGTAAGTTGGTATCAGCTGATCCATTATCTTTGGAATGTCTATTTTAACGCGCAACGCGAGATCATAATCAATCGTACTCGCGTACTCGAACGAGATGAATGCTCTGATGATCCGGACGATGACAAGTTTGTTGTTTGGTTGGAAAAGCTCGAATAGATGTATGTATCTCATCGGTCTACATATGTATACATAGATTAAAATGGATTTAAATGCCGCGCTGATCCGTCTCGGTTCGCGCCGCTACGCCGTGCTGTTCCACCTGTCATCACATATTTTAATCGTAAGAAATCGAAGCAAAAATTTCCGCTATTGTATCCAACAGGTTTGTACTCGACTTTTTCTCGCTTTCTCTTTTCATCCTCTCGATTCGTGCGGTGTGTAGCAGTGTACACCAACGATATACCACTATAAATCCTGCTGTCGCGTCGCGTTTGTCTCGCGTTGTACCGTCGACTTACGTTAGTCCACCGCTTATGTAACTGTACAAAACAAGGTGAAAAGTTTGCTTTAAAATCGGTGCGGACCCCGCTCTGCAGCCACCGTTTACCGCGCGACAATAGACAAACAACAAGAATTCTATTATCGTTTACGTAATCAATCCCTACAAATTTGATTAACGGTCTAGGTACCATTCGTTCTCTTCCGTCATTCCAACAAGGTATATCTACGCATTAAATTTGACCGTGACGTTACGTTAATAAACAAGCTGGAAGGATCGTTCTCATCGTTGTTCTACATATAGACCGACTGGATCCGCCTAGACCGCCGCAACATGGCACATGTTCGGATGGCGGCGGGTCGCATAGATCGGCAAATTCGTTAAAACTACCATCTCTGTGTTTCTAACAGCGTAATAAAAACGTTACTCGGTTCATCATCTTTTCACGAGCGTATTTAAGTCGTCGAGAAAATTCTTCCGTTCTACTGTTCGATACACGAGTAGATGGTTATGTTGTAATTGTCCGTTGGTGAAACGTTACTTAAAATAAATATATCCGCATAGTTGATCCGAAATGGGAATTGTACACTCGAAAAATCGCGCGATTGGTCGCTAACGAAAATGTGTTGTTCCTGATTGTCGGTCAGTTCGTTACGATTTGTACGTTTGTTTGCTACGTATCGTTTATCGTGAGCATAGTATTTGCCCTGTAATTTTTTGGTAAATCGGAAAATACGAGAAGCAAGCATATCGTTTTCCTTGGCTACATTTTAATGTTCATTAAATTCCAGTTACGAGAATAATTTGTTTCTGCTTTCTCTCCCTCTCCCTCTCCCTCTCCCTCTACTTGTACGACCCTCGGTCCCACTCTCACTGCTACCTGCCCCCCACCCGCTCTCTTTTTCATTCTTTCTCACGGGCGCGTACGTTACGAAAATGAAAGGGTTGGCAACTTTTTCCTTTCACCGTACTATCGACTATAGTACATGTAGGCTATTTTAGATCTCTCGGACTTTTTGACAGAATTTCATAATACGTTACGTTACGTTTTACGTTGCGTTCGATACATCCATGTATGTACATATATGTATCAAGCGATAAGCGGTACCAGCCTTTCTCTCCGAAATTGATAGGGATACGAAGCAAATAAAAATATCGTTTCCTTCTTGTAGCGAATATACGATATATGTATGTCCATATTAACAGGAAAGTGTATTTTGGAAAATGCTACCTGACTCGTAAAGGTGGGACGATATAAAAATGTCGTAACGATACAAATTTGAGAATCGTGTATACTTATCGGGCAGAATGACAGTGGATCGATCGATCGGTGCACTGTTCGAATCGGTACGATCGGTATCGCGAGAAGGACACAAAGGGAACGGAAAGAGAACCGATCGGATCGCAAGGATAGAATGACGCCAGTGGGGCACTAGTTGTTTGGTTGCGTAACAAACCCTCGAGCTCTAGTTACGACAATAAGATTGCACAAGCTTTGCACAAGATTCCTCGGAAGGAAGGAAGAAAGAAAGGAAGTAAGGAAGGAAGGAAGGAAGGAAGAAAGGAAGTAAGGAAGAAAGGAAGTAAGGAAGGAAGGAAGGAAGGGAGGAAGGAAGGAAGGAAGGAACGAAGGAACGATGGAACGATGGAACGAACAAACAAACGATTATGTATATCGTAAATGGTAGTGGCGTTTGGAAGATTCGTCGATGACGACGCGTAAAACCAGTAAATAAAATGTAGGAGAAAGGGTTGTTTAGGCAGTTGCAAGATAATGTTGTTTCGTGCGACATCGCTCCGCAACCGCCTATATGTATAGACTAGCTCCGTTCCAACTATCACTTTCGCCTTACAATCTGTTGTTTCTTTTGCAAACATTCTTATAGGTATTTCCGGTCGCGGAATGTCGTCCATTCTATCCCACAAAACATTTCGCTTCCACTTTTCCACCGACAGTTACTACTTTTCATCCTTTCGATTCTCCGCCAAACATTGTTTCACACGAATAATTGAAATAATATACGCGTTTCGTAGATGTACTAACACGCCTAGACCTCGTGTATTATAATTTTCGACGTTACAATGTATCAAATGTTAAGAGCGTCTTATAGCTTGGGTAATAAGATTCGAAAGGACCGTAGTAAAGTACGAATACGACTAACAACTGACCTGGCTGCGAATCGATTGCGTAAAATTCAAGGCACGCTTACAACTTACATCGTAACAGGAGAAAGGATACATCTATTTAAGCTGTCATAGATCAAGCTCCGTTTTAAAAGCGATATCGTTTATAGGAAAAATGTCTGGAAAATTGGAAAATACTGGTGTTGAAATAGGACGTGCTACTGCTACATATAAAAGGGCTATTAATTCATTCGGAAATATGTGTGTAATTATTAATCGTTTGAATAATTCGAATCGTTCGAATAGAAAGGTTCATTAATTCGCTGTAGCGTTGTTTGATACGATGGAATACCATTTTCAGAGAACAGTACCTCTTCAACGTTTTCGAGGTAATAGTTTCCACTCTGGAATCGAAATTGCAACGAATCGAAAATCTGGACAAAGCGGTGGAACATTTGATGAGAAGAGTCGAAGCTTTGGATTCACGGGTAAACGACAATATCGACAAGACCGATGCAGTAATTACCAAACTTCGAACGCTGGATCTGAAGCTTTTTAATTCTCAGCCAATGTTTTTGTCAACCGATCGTGCCGTTTATTCAACGAGACCACCATCCAACGATCAAAATGACAGTGAAATTGGAGGCGGTATGTACATACAACACACGACACACGACACACGACACGTTTCTCTCGAAAAAATAATCATATCTACTTCCATACGAGTAATTATACACGTATATTTACTCACTTGCTACTCGTTACCTTTCCTTTGTTCCTTTTCTTTGTTTTGCACAGATTCCCAGTCGCATTCGTTGGACGAAACATCCCCGACGCCGACGGATCAAGCGATTCACCATGCTCGAAGAGATCCATCACCCGAGACTCTCGGTCAGAAATTATTGTCGCTCGATCAGAAGGTGTCCGACATAGACAATAAATTGGTCGACCTAAAAAATCAATTGGACAATAACTTTTTACAAAATGACGATATAAACGCCGAAGCAAGCGAGAAAAAACCAGTTAGCATGAGCGTAATTGAAATCACAAAAGCGATGAGCAACGAAGTAATGAATCACATAACAATCGAAATTGAAAATTTGAGACAAACTACAGGTAACATGGATAGAAAGTTGCAGTTTCACATGAATTTGGTCTCGGATCATTTGGAAAACGTCTTCAATATGATGACGGATGTACACGATGCGATACTTGTCAGAGGACATGGAAATGAAAATGGAAATGGAAATGGAAACGGTCAACAAACATTCAATATTACAACAACAACAACAACAACGGAAATGCCACAGAAGCAAAGCAAGATTGATCGTCTCGTCGAACAGATGTATCCTATGCTGACCGTTTCCGAAAAAATGGATCAAGTTTGGAGTGTCGTGGTAAGTCGACGTAAATGTATCGTAAAGATTAGACCAACTAAATGGAATTTTTCGAATAGGTTGGTACAAAAAGTTCCGTGGACGATCTTTTGCCAAAGTCGGACGAGTTGCTTACGCAAACGCAAAGGCAGGAAAGAGCAATTAGTGAAATTCACGCGGATCTGAGGTCAAAGACAAACAAGATTATCGAAAACTTGGAAGGAGTCGAGAATAGGTTGAGGAAGCAAGAAGACGATGTCGGTACTCTTGGCCAACGTCCAATTCCAGCGGAACTATTACTCGATCCCACGATCGATCGACTCGTCGAATACGATTCGAGTAGGTCAGTGCGTATTCCTTTACTTATCGCAAATCGTTTTAATTTACATATACACTAATTAATACAAATCACATTTCCACATTTCTACCATTTGTTTCTTTTTTTTCTTTTCTTGTTGGTTTAGATACGTTGGATTATCGGAAGATGTTCCAGCCGAAACCACCATTTCACCGGTGACGCCAACTACCGTCGTTTCCTCGGTGTCGATGTCGATGTCTTCTTCGACTTCGTCCAACGTTATACCAGTTAATAATTTAAACATTTCCAATAGCATCAATGGTTCCAGCAGCTTCCCGAATTTCACCAGCATCTCCGGGACGACATCATCTTCGTCGAGTACGCAAAGATCTTGGACGAAAAATCGGGGCGTGATATTTCCAAGTGTTAAAAACAAACCAAGTCCGGCGAATTCGACTTTCACCACCGATGCGTTTCTTAGTTATAAGGACGTTAAGGTAACGTCGATTCGTTGCAACCCCAAACCTTCTTGCCACTCGTATTATTTATTTACTCGTACATAAAATTCGTACGTTTACTAAAATATCGTATCGCGGGCTCAAGTGGCGCGCGTATAGAATTTTACCGCAACCTCTATTAGCCAGATTTCTCGATCGACAAGGGGATACTACATATTCTTATTATATGCAAGTAGACAAAAAATTGGGGCATGCAAATAAACACAACATGTACACGTACGATACATGTATGTACATTTCGAAAAGGAAGGTTTCGGGAAGGTAGAAAATTGATTATGCAACTCGCGAATCGATTATCGTTGTGGATGTTACAGTTGAACGTACGACTTATAGTTGCTCGTAATTGCGCGTCTCGAGAACTTTAAACTGCGCTGCGACGTGAAAGTCGCTGTACTGGATTTACTCGTTTATCGTGTTTAAATGGTCAACTCAAATAATCGAACACTACCACGATGAGCCTTATCGCGAGCATCGGTTACGTACTCTGACTCTACTTTGTTTCTTTTACCATTTCTTTTTCATCTAAATACTATCAAATCATCGATATATGGCCTCGCCCGCGCCCTAACGAAAAATCATCGTAACGCATTCGTAGAAAACGAACGCATAATATACATGGACATGTAAGTGTATACATTATTACAGGGCTACTCTTGCGTCGATTTATTAAACGCAGGCATGAGGGACAATGGTGTCTATTATCTTCAAATACGAGGTACCACCTACTGGTTCCTAAAAGTTTATTGCGAACAAGACATTGCCGAAGGAGGTTGGACGGTAAGAATGCCACCGACATACGATCCGTTAAACATGCTTTCACGATTGATCGATGCACACTCGTCTACTCGTTATCGTTTACTTGCTCGCTGTTGCTTCCAATTATATTTCCTTTTTCTTTTTCTTTTCTTTTCTTTTCTTTTCTTTTCTTTCTTTCTAAAATCCGTATTTACGAGTTTGAAAACCATCGTGCGTGCCATACTCACTAAATACAACAAGAACAACCACACGCGTTCACGAGTATCAAAAATCCAGATGCCAACACGGACGTGCAACGATCTGACGGGTCTAACGGGTTATTTATCGGCAGCTCTAACGCAAGTATAACGTAGTTATGTTCCGTTTACGCATAGGTCATTCAAAGAAGAGACGATTTTGGAGAGCCAAGAGAAAATTTCAATCGGGATTGGGCCGATTATAAGAACGGATTCGGCGATCCTGCCAGAGAGTTTTGGCTGGGTAACGAAAACATATACATGCTAACGAATAACGAAGATTATACGCTTCGAGTCGAGCTCGAAGATTTCGAAGGAAACAAAAGGTAAAGAAAGAAAGCGAACGTTGTCGTTTATCGCTCCTAGTATGTCTCTACGCTACGATTGTCATTCCATGTACATACGTAAATAAATACACGATACCGAGTTATCACCGTTCACCGTTTTCTAGGTACGCACAGTATTCTCATTTTAAAATCTACTCGGAAGCAGAGTATTACAAATTAGAGATCGATGGCTACGATGGAAATGCTGGCGATTCCTTAAACGATCCCTGGTATGGCTCAAACAATAGTCCCTTCTCGACCTATAACAGGTAACAGGTTCTTCTTTTTTTTTTCTTTTTGTTTCTTTTTTTGTCGTTTTATGCATCTCTTTTCATATTTCGTGTACTGTGTTGTCGGTAGAAAGACTCGTAGCTTTCTTGTCCGACCTAACCCATCCTATTAATTGGAATTTGCAGAGACAACGATAGATCATCGTTAAATTGTGCTTCCATGCTAAAAGGTGGATGGTGGTGGAAATCATGCGGACGCGGATTGAACGGTCTTTACTTGAACGATCCTCAAGATCTAACCGCTCGGCAAGGTATATATATGTTTTTACCATCTCCCCTCTCTCATCTCTGTTCTTTTTTTGTTTTGTTTTTTTCTTGTTTATCATTGAAATTGTCAGTAATTACTCGAGAAAAGAAACTATTCCAGAATAAAATGGAACAGAATAAATAAAATTTCCAACAGATAGTTGTCGTAGATTGACGACGACCGCGATATCAAAGGAAAGCCGTTTTCTTCTTCTCTGTTTAAGGTATCGTATGGTTCCGTTGGAGAGGTTGGGATTACACGTTAAAACGAGCTACGATGATGATTAAACCAAAAGGACTGACAGCCCCGGCGGTATAGGTTATCAAGATTTCCTAGACGAAGCAAATTCATTAGAAACATTGTACAAATTACGTTATCCGTAGCGTTTCGTACAACTGGTGCAATTCTCCTCAACGACCAAATATATATGTAACAAGGAAAAAAAAGAAAAAAAAGATACAACTTTGGAAGCACCAAACAATTTCCTTTTAGAGAATCGACAACATTCTCGTCGTTCTACCTAACGCTATTTTGTTTGGAATTCCAACGTTGAAACATATTTATTTTCATCGAACGGTTCAACGGAGATAGTTTTGCCAGATTTTAATTACTTGAAGTAATTAAACGTGGTTATTAAATCTAGTAATTTATGTCCATCATTGGAAAATGGCTAAAAGACGAGGCGTAACAAATGCATTGCAATATCCATTCCGCAGATCGGACAACAAATAACTTTACCGTTTAACGTAACATGGCTGTTACGTTGAACTCTAATATACAAATGTATAATTCTTTTCGATACGATTATTCGATACATTAACTCACAGATTATACCTCAGAATCTTGAAAAGAGGATGAATCGAATGGTTGAAAACGAATGAGTGTATGGATGAATGATAACGCGCATCTATCGCAAAATTATCGACATCGTTGTTAGTAATATTTATACATTAGAAAGCCGTAGAACTGTTTACACTTTACACGGATTAGAAATTACAGTTTGATCACAATAAAAACAACGATGATCAAAGTAGGCTTGTAATGAACGGAAATGCATATTAAGTGTGAAAAGTTTAGTAATGTAAATAAATGTCCGAACAGTATCCAAGCAACGTGTAAAAAGTATTTTTTAAATATAAAATAAATGTATCCTTTATCAAACGAAATGCATCGTTTTAATACTTTCAGTATATACGGAAACAATGGTAAAATGTCATGAAATTGAAGAGAGAGTAGTAAAGAGAGTTGGTTCGTTTGTAAATTTTCCACAGGATATACTTTGTACGGGAACAAAATTAGAACACATTATAAGCCACATATCCACCCGATATTATCCACACATATGAGACGCGTCGTAGCTCGTAAACGCGAGATGGATGGGAGCAACACACAGGCAACATAACCTCATCGAATCTCTCGTGACGTCAGGTGATCAGGTGTGTGTTGGTGTGTGTCGGTGCCGGTAAAAACGCAAAGAACGTGCGTTATTCTATTCCATACATTATGGTAAGCATTAATTTATTATTCATATGTTCATCGCGATGTTGCGATGTTACTGTTACTGTTACGATGTTACTGTTACTGTTACTGTTATTGTTACTGCTACGATGTTACTGTTACGATGTTACTGATACGATGTTGCGATGTTACTGTTACTGTTACCCTCGTAGAAATAACCCTCGCAGAGATAACCCTCGCAGAAATAACCCGCGCAGACCTTACCCTTGCAGAGCTAACCCTGGCAGAAATAACCCCCGAAAACACATAGTCAAACGAAAGCTGTCTCTCAATTTTTTGTTGCTATTAACCCTCTTCACTTTGCATTTAAGAATACAACTTAAATCATGTTGTTCGAATAGGCTTAATACTTGTTCTTCCTTCTTAAAGCACTTAATCGACTTGAATTCAATATTGTGAGGTATTAATCAATCAAACATCTTTGTTTCTATTTACATGCGACCTTTACCGATAGATAATCAACTACGTATAAGGTGCCCCAACAATACATAATAACACTGTTAACGCATATAACAATATGTAAATATTTCAACATTTTCAGGCACATTTTATCATTAAACCGAGGCCAGAGCTACTTATCGAAAACGCTTTACTTACTTGAAATTTTTCCCACAGAACTATAACTATTCATAGTTAAGGAATAGTTGACCTGCATTCTGTGGCAATCTTCATTTCTATAAGCACACATTATTATTAAACGGAACACGCTAGAATCAATTAATTAACATAACCTGTAATATCTGTCACGTACAACGTGACTCTATCCCCAGTGGATATCCGAGTGCAAAGGGTTAACGGAATCATAGTCGCGGTATCGTACGTCGTCGATATTAACTAATAAATAATAATAATTATTACTTTCCGCTGTCGGAACCGAATGCAACACAACAGTAGAAATAGATTTCGCATTCCTCGCCGCTAGAGGGACATCAGCGTCAAGTCAGCGACTTTCTCGCAAGCGCTCGAGCAGTCTTTCTCTCGTATATATACAACTTCTAAATCCTTTCCCTCGGGGTCGCAGTCGAGTCGCGCCGCGTTGCGTCGGCACGGG